GCCCGGCCAAGGTTGTACTAATATTACCCCATTATCCAGATGAGGAGGCTGAGGCCAGAGAGGTTAAGCCACTTGCCCAAGATCACACAGCAGATACATAGCAAAGCTGGGATTCTAACCCACGTGGTCTGAGTGCTGAGGGTCCAGAGTCTAAGCTCTCACCCCCACAGTGCAAGGATCCTAATCAAAGATCAGGAGGCAGCCAGCCTTGTGGGGAAGAGGAGAGGAGGGATGGAGAAGGGACTGGGTAACCCAGCTCTGTCATCACTCATCTACTAGTTCCTTCCACAACTGGCTCTAAGACCTACCACGAACAAATGAACGTGCCAGGTTCTGGAGATGTGACAGGGATGCAATCAATGAACAAGAACAGCAGCAGCCCCCTTTGGAGAGGGGAGAGCCCTCACTGTGGGCTGAGCGCCGTGATCATTCCCGGCACTTCCAGATGTACCACCGCCCGTACGCCCCATTCACAGAGGCGGATGACCAAGGCTCAGGAGGAACGAGCCACCTGCCTAGGGGCCCACATTTGGGATTTCTGAGCCCTTCAGAAATCTCCCAGCAAGACCGCTGGACCTTGCTGGGAGAGGCGTAGAGAGGGGTCAGGGACACTTACCTGGGTAAGACAGATGGACTTGCTCTGGCGCAGCGCTGGAGGCCCTCGGGGACCCCTGGACTCCCAAGGAGCATAGCAGGAGCAGACAGCAGCAGGACCACCAGCCAGGAAGGGAGTGCATGGTGGTGGGGTGGTGACAGCAGACAGGAGAAAGCAGGGAGACTGAGGAGATCAGGTCCCCACAGACACAGCAGGAAGGGCAGGGAGGATGGGGAGCAGCAGGGCTCTGGGGGAGAGAGGCAGGAGGGCAGGGAGGTCTTCTTCAAGACGGGCAGTTATCCAAACGCTAGAGAGAGAAACCCCAAATAAGAATCGCTAAGGAGCAGCAGCAGAGCTCTGAGCTTGCCTGCCAGTGTGCCAAGCGCTTGCCATAGATTAACTCCCGGGAGCCTCACGACATTGCTATGAGGTGGTGGCTGTGAGCATTCATTATCCCCGTATCACAGATGAGGAAACTGAGCAACTGCGTGATTCAGATGCACAGCTAGCATGCACTGGAGCCAGAATTTGAACCCAGGAGGGCCTGATTCTGGAGCCTTGCTCCTAACCAGAGCTCACTGTCAGTGCTGGGGGTCTGGGAGTGGGGTGGAGGCTGTGGAGGAGGTTGCATTCGCCAGCCCCATCCCCAGCTTTCCATCCTGCTGTTAGAAACCCCAGTTCTCCTACCTACTCCCCAGATTCCAAGCATTCCCACCTGCACCCCCCCGCCCCACCCCCACCCCCGCGGTCCCGGGACCTGGCCGCTCTACTCCATCCTTAGCCTTCCATTTTGCTCCTAGTGATCGCAATCCTCCCAAGCCACCCCCAGATCCCTTAGAGTCCATCCTGGCCAGAGAGGCCGCGTCCTCTCTGCCCACCCCCAGCCACCCAGCTCCAGCTCTGTCTCCAGCTGCCAGGCTGGAGCCAGGTTGGGACCATCCGGGAGCGGGGGCGCCCTCCCGGACCCCGGCTCACCCTCGGGGGCGCGGGCTGCCCGCACGCGCATCTCCTGCCACCCGCGCCGCCGCAGTATTTATGAGTTCGCGGGTGCCGAGGCCGCCTGCCGCCTACAGCCGTCCCAGCCCCGGAAGAGCCGGTCGCCTCGGGGTGACGGACTCCCCAGACAGCCAGGGCCCCGGGTCCCACAGGTCCGGCCGGTCCCGGGCGCCCCACACCCACCCGCCTACCCCCCCCAGGGCGTGGTGCGGAAAGGGGGACCCAGGAAGGCTTGGTACGCCGCCGCCGCCACCAGATGAGCGCCCGGGCAGGTCAGCCTGCGCTCGCCCCCCAGGCGCCCACTCATCAGCTGGGGACCCTCCTAGGGCACGGACACCAGCCCCTACCTTGGCCCTGCCGGATCCCCACCCAGGTACCCAGATGTGCAGGTACCGGGGGATCCCCAGCCTTTCCAGCCTGCCTGCATCTTCCTCGCAATTCTTTCCGGCTACCACCTTCTCCATGCTGAGCCCACTGACTCCTCCTCGGAAGCCCCGGGCACCCTGAAAACAAAACCGGAACCCCGGAATTGCTGTGGGCTTTCTGAGCTGTGCGACCTGGGTGAGTTACTCAACCTCGCAGGACCTCGGGTGTTTTCACCTGTAAAAAGGAGGTGATGATCGTCTATACCCCATGGGCTGCTGTGAGGAGTAAACCAGTTGATGTCTGAAACTTCATGCTGATAACAGGGCTCGGCCCAGAGCAAGGGCTGGATAAGAATCAGCTATTCTTTTTGTCTTTATTAAGGCATGAACTCCAGAAGCTGACGTCTAGGGAGTAAGTTCGGTTTCTTCCCTGTAAACCTTTGCAAGATGTTTGAATGCGGGGAGGGCTTGCCACAAAAGAAGCATCAGGAAAAGTCTGGAGGGTCCGGATTTCCAGTTTCCCCATCGTATCCTGATTGCAGATAGAATGACCCGCCACCACGTGGCTTTGTAAATTCAGAGTATAGAGACTTCTACTGGTTGGGGACACTAATTTCAGAAATTGGCACTAGGTGTGTGGGAAATTCAAAACGAGCCTTTTGCACTGTTTTTTTTTTTCTTCCCACTTCCAGAGTCTCCATTACAGCCTAAAATATAACAAAAGCAGCTCTATTAGCCAAACTTGAGTACCCGCCACTCCTGTGGCCACCAGTGACAACCTCCCCTTACTTAGTTCTTCAGAATGGGAGGTTCCTAACCTTTTTACGTGATGAAGGTGCCTCTGGCAAGCTGGTTAAGCCCTTCTCAGGATCATGTTGATAATGCATAAAATAAATGTACAAAATTACAAAGGAAACCAGTGCTATTGAGAGAGAGAGAGAGAGAGAGAGAGAGAGTGTGTGTGTGTGTGTGTGTGTGTGTGTTTTGAGACACAGTCTCGCTCTGTTGCCCAGGCTGGAGTGCTCTGCAACCTCTGCCTCCCAGATTCAAGTGATTTTTGAGCCTCAGCCTCCCGAGTAGCTGGGACTGCAGGCATGAACCACCGTGCCTGGCTGAAAACTGAGTTTAAAAAAAAAAACATGAATATACATGCATATATTTCTGTTAGCCATCAGAGTGATGACATTATCACGGATCAGGTAGTCTCTGGAGAATGAAAAGGACAAACATCTTAGTGTAATTATAAAAATAGTTTTGACCTCACTAACCCCCCTGAAAAAGGTCTTGGAGATCCATAGGTGTCCCCAGACCACATTTTGAGAACTGCTAGATTAAAGTGTAGTAAAAGGAGAGGTAAAAACACATTTCCCCTATCCAAGTTCACGTAGCTCCTGAATTCCCAACCACCAGCCCAGGTGAAAAAGGCCCACTGGAATTCCATCTGGTTGGGCCCTGACAGGCGGGTGAGGGCGGATAGCTCAGGTATAAGCTTGTGATGGGAAACAGCATCGACTCTGGGGCTAGATAGCCTGTGCATAAATCTCTCTCCAGCATTGACTAGCTTAGATAAGTGATTTAACCACATGGTGCCTCAGCTTCCCCATCCGTGAAATGGGAACAATAGTAGTGCCTTATAGGGTTGTTGCAAGGATTAAATAATACGTAGATAGAAACCCCTCAGAACAGTGCCTAGCACAAAGCGAGCGCCCCCATACAATCTTTATTATCATACCCAAGACATCTAGTCTGCCCAGTTTGCAAGACAGGGTTATAATAAGCCTAGTTTTCTAAGTCATTTGACTCCAACGCCCAAGCTGGAGTGCAGCGGTGAGATCTCGGCTCACTGCAACCTCCAGCTCCCAAGCTCAAGCGATTCTCATGCCTCAGCCTCCTGAGTAGCTGGGATTATAAGCGTGTGCCACCACACCCGGCTAATTTTTGTATTTTTAGTAGAGACAGTGTTTTACTGTGTTGGCCAGGCTGGTTTCGAACTCCTGACCTCAAGTGATCTGCTCACCTTGGTCTCCCAAAGTGCTGGAATTACAGGTGTGAGCCGCTGCACCCAGCGGATTTAAACCTTTTAAATTATGAAATGTGATATACATGCAGAACAGTACAGACATAAATGTCCCACTGAACGAATATGACAAAGAGAATACACCTGTGTAACCACCCACTAGGTAAAAGAAAAATAATCTTACCAGCTTCCCCCAAGCCCCCACCTGCTTCCTCTCCAGCACAGCTTTTTCCTTTTGGTGAAGGAATCAGCTTAACTTTTACCTGACTTTGGCTTCCCTACCTAAGTATGCCTCCCTATACACAGTGGTTTCATTTTGTCTATTTTTGCACATGGTGTATTTAGAAGTGTACAGGATGAACTCTTTCACTCCACTTTATGATTGGGAAATTTGAGTCAGGCATATAATTGGAACCCATTTTCCTTCTCATTGCCAAGGAGCACTCCATTATGTGAATACACCCCATTTATGTATCAATGGTGGTTTTTCTGTTTTTGTGTTTTGTTTCATTTTTGCAACAGTTTTGTTCTTGTTGCCCAGGCTGGAGTGCAATGGCACGATCTCGGCTCACTGCAACCTCCACCTCCCAGATTCAAGTGAGTCTTCCGCCTGAGCCTCCTGAGTAGCTGGGATTACAGGCATGTGCCACCATGCCCAGCTAATTTTGTATTTTTAGTAGAGACAGGGTTTCTCCATGTTGGCCAGGCTGGTTTTGACCTCCTGACCTCAGGTGATCTGCCTGCCTCCTCTTCCCAAAGTGTTGAAATTACAGCATGAGCCACCATGCCTGGCCACCAATAGTTTATTTATCAATTTATTAGTTGGTTTATCTATGAAAACCAGTTGTCAATGGAAATTTGAGTTACTTCCTTTTTTTTTTTGGCTTTTGCAAATAGTGCTGTGTTCAACATTCTAGTACTTATTTTGTTAAACATACATACACATTTCTGTTGGGTATAAGCCAAGAGTATAAGATGGCTGACGCCAGCCATGGTGGCTCATACCTGTAATCCCAGCACTTTGGGAGGCCGAAGTGGATGGATCATCTGAGGTCAGGAGTTCGAGACCAGCCTGACCGACATGGAAAAACCCTGTCTCTACTAAA